TGCGTGTTAGCCGTGGAGTGGAGTGAAGTGGAGTGGAGGGGCAACACCTGGGGGCAGGCGCGGGGCGCCTCGATTCGTGGCCAGCAAGTTTATTTGCCCCACAGGCCGAGCGCTGAGGCGCTGATTCCAAGGCTTCGTGGACCTGACAGCACACGGGTCGGTCCATCATTTGTATGCGTCGCGCGATGGTCGCGTCCGGGCTGGTGCCTGCACAGGAGTCATTTGGTCGGCCTCTTGAGGAGTTTGCTTCTCCACCTCCTCCTCCCCCTCCCCTTCCTCCTGCCCACACAACGCCACGCCAACACAAAGTGCGTGCGCAAATGCCGCGGGACTTAAATCAAAAATTGAATAAATATTGGAAATCTGCGTAGAAAGAAAGCCACAGCAAAAATATTTATAAGTTGTCGCAGTTGTTCCTTCTATTCTTTTTGTTCTTGTTGTTGTTCTTATTGTTGTTTTTGTTGTTGTTGATGGTATTGCCGTTGATTTGCCATGCATAGCGCGTGCCCCAAACAGGCGACAAAGTGGCACGCCACAGCCCAACAAACAGGCTCGTACTATTGAGCTTTTGTCAGCCACTCAGCCAAGAACAAGTTTCAAACAGGTTTGCGGGCGTTTCAATCTGCCGCTGCACATACGCGTACAGTGGTGTGTGTGGTTTGTATATAGTGGCACAGCCGCATAAGCCGAACCCAGGCACAGTGGGCCAAAATTAAGATGAAGTTGAGATTTTGAGAAATTGACGCCAATTGTGTACTTCATCGCCACAACTTCAATTTAAAGCGAGGTAGGATTTTATCTTCGGAGAAAAATCTACTACCAGCAGCAAACAATAGAACTCCTCAATGGATTATATTGGACTATATACTACTCTTTCTACTACTACATCTACTATGGCTACTGCTATTTCAACTACTACTACCATTATTAATAACTACTATTACTACTACTAATATTACTACTACTACTCCTATTATTACCACTAGTACTATTAGTAATACTACTCTTACTACTACTCCTAATACTACTACTTCCACTACTAAGTACTTCCACTATCGAAACAAAAGCGAGGTAGGATTTTATCTTCGGAGAAAAATCTACTACCAGCAGCAAACAATAGAACTCCTTAATGGATTATATTGGACTATATACTACTCTTTCTACTACTACAACTACTACGGCTACTGCTATTCGAACTACTACTACCATTACTAATAACTACTATTACTGCTACTATTACTACTACTAGTACTATTAGTAATACTACTCTTACTACTACTCCTAATACTACTACAAGCCAAATGCATGTTTCGCCATTCCACCAAAGTTGATTCCAAATTGAAAGCGAGGTAGGATTTTATCTTCGGAGAAAAATCTACTACCAGCAGCAAACAATAGAACTCCTCAATGGATTATTTTGGACTATATACTACTCTTTCTACTACTACATCTACTATGGCTACTGCTATTCCAACTACTACTACCATTACTAATAACTACTATTACTACTACTGCTACTACTACTCCTATTAGTACTACTAGTACTAATAGTAATACTACTCTTACTACTACTACTAATACTACTACTTCCACTACTAAGTACTTCCACTATCGAAACAAAAGCGAGGTAGGATTTTATCTTCGGAGAAAAATCTACTACCAGCAGCAAACAATAGAACTCCTTAATGGATTATATTGGACTATATACTACTCTTTCTACTACTACAACTACTACGGCTACTGCTATTCCAACTACTACTACCATTACTAATAACTACTATTACTGCTACTATTACTACTACTAGTACTATTAGTAATACTACTCTTACTACTACTCCTAATACTACTACAAGCCAAATGCATGTTTCGCCATTCCACCAAAGTTTATTTCAAATTGAAAGCGAGGTAGGATTTTATCTTCGGAGAAAAATCTACTACCAGCAGCAAACAATAGAACTCCTCAATGGATTATATTGGACTATATACTACTCTTTCTACTAATACAACTACTACGGCTACTGCTATTACAACTACTACTACCATTACTAATAACTACTATTACTACTACTGCTACTACTACTCCTATTAGTACTACTAGTACTAATAGTAATACTACTCTTACTACTACTAATAATACTACTACTTCCATTACTAAGTACTACTACTATCGAAACAAGCCAAATGCATGTTTCGCCATTCCACCAAAGTTTATTTCAAGTTTTATTTCAAATTTAAAGCGAGGTAGGATTTTATCTTCGGAGGAAAATCTACTACCAGCAGCAAACAATAGAACTCCTCAATGGATTATATTGGACTATATACTACTCTTTCTACTAATACAACTACTACGGCTACTGCTATTACAACTACTACTACCATTACTAATAACTACTATTACTACTACTGCTACTACTACTCCTATTAGTACTACTAGTACTATTAGTAATATTACTCTTACTACTACTCCTAATACTACTACTTCCACTACTAAGTACATCCACTATTGAAACAAGCCAAATGCATGTTTCGCCACGGTCACTTTTTAAACGGTTTTGATTAAACACGGTCTAAAAATTAAACATATTTTGTATGGTTACGCGACTTTATTCCATTTAGCCAGATTCATTTTGCGTATGATCAATGTCTTTTTTTACACGGTTGTTTTTTGTACACGACTTTTTTAGGAACCATTATACCGTGTAAAAACAGAATTAGCTGTATTTCCAAACATCCATTCCTTTTTATGGGTGCAAGGGGTTCTAAATGCCGTATAACTTATTCATTCGATAATCAGTTCGGACTTAAAAGCACCCATTTGATGGTCTTAAAATTTGTCTAAGATCGAGGAGGAGAAGGAACCATCCGAAAAGTGATCTTTACTCGATTGACTGCAATGAAGCCATCAATAGGAATTACACATTGATACAGATTTCTGTGTAATTTATAAACCAGTATCGTGGCATCTTAGTTACGACTTTTTAATGTTTAATGCCTTTCAAAGATTTACCTTAAAGATTTCCAGAAACTTTTAGAGTTTTTGTGCTAATAGCAGGAAAGGAAGAAATAATCCTATAGATGGAAAGAGAAATCAGACAAACCTCATTATATTTGTGTGTACTGTGTACTATATTAGTCTAGTATTTTAAATTTGTTTATTTATTTATTAAGGCGATCGAAATGAAATATTGCAAAACTTAGAACCTAAACAAGTCTACAAGTAAAGAAGTCTTTTAGGAGCTCACAATAATATCTAGTAATGTTTCCGAGACGCCGGGGGAATTCTATAAGTATCTAATTCAGTTTCTTCCATCGTTTGCTGATTAAAAAAAAAGGCCGTTGCCCCCCTAGAAACAATTTTTCCATATAAAGTCGACCACACGTTCATTATTATGACGCACTATTTCGCCTTAAGATGGATCTGCGTTGGATTTGTTGAAGTTTTTTCATCGATCATATGCATAAATTATTTTTTAAATGCATCGGGCATTATTTAATCAAAATTTCAATTTTTTGGCCCCCCCCTTTGGTAAAAGCTGGCTACGCCCTTGGGGCGTAGTATAAATATTAAAAGAAGTATTCAATTTAAGGCAGAAGAATCATGAACATATTTTGCCTACAATTTTATGATATTCTTAAATGTCCTTAAACCCAGATAGTAAACACATCGATAATGAAACGTAAATAAATTTAGAACAATAGTCTTATAGTCTATTCAAAAATATTTTAAACTCATTTTTGAATAATTTGAAATTAAAACGTTTAATACAAGTAAGCTCTAGCAATATTACATACAAGTATTATGTTAATCTTGTCAAAAGAGTTATCTTAAATAATTTTAAAGTTTACTTGTGGTATCTGTTTTTATCCGAATTTATTTTTATTTTAAATTAATCCATATTGCATACAATATGGAAAATTGCTTCTTTTGTGCTACCGTTGTAAATGTTCAAGATTTGGATTCAATACCAGCAGAACTGAAAGCAGTTACGCGTATATCTGGTAGTGGGATCTGTTCATTTGAGCCAAGGAAAGGGAGCGGGCCTCTGCACAAAGCAAAAACAATAACAGCTTAACAACAGCAGCTTAAATAAACATGAACTCAGCAGCGACTTCGACGTAGACATCGACGTAGACACCGACGTCGCAGTCGACGGCAGCTCAGGCGACAAAGCGCCAAAGAACGGCAACAGCAGCAGCAACAGCTAAAGCTACAGCAGAAACAGCAGAGAGTTAGGCTCAGAGGCAAGAGCCAAGACTTGAAATCTCAACAGCTATCGCCCGCCCCCCTCTGCGCCTTCCTCTGCTCCAGCAGCGCCGCCTTGATATAAAAAACAGGTTAAAAGTAGATCGCCAACAGCAACCGCAAAACTTGACGAAGCCGGCCAGCCCCACGCTGTTGTTGTCTCGCTCGGCCAAGTTCCAAGTTAAAAAGCCGTTGCCCCTGCGCAGTGGGGACACTCTCCACATATGTATCTATACATATAAACGTTCATACAAATGTATGTATGTATGCATGTGTGTATGTTGGAGAACCTCGCACTGCTTGCTTAGCAAGTTACCTCCGATTTTTATCGTATTTAATGACTCCTCTTGGCCGCCTGCAGCCACAGCTAGACAGACAACAAATAGCCAACTGGTTTTTCCTCTACTCCCAACTATGACAGGCGATTTTCATTTTGGCCGTCGTCGTTGACGCAGTCGTAAAATAAAAATAAAAAAGCACACACAACATGTTAGTGAAACGAGTTTTCTTACAAATGTTGATATGTACGAAAATCGCTAGAAAAACGCGCGCGAAACGCAACATGTTGCTAGAGCGCTGCGCACCGGCTGCTCTCAACATGTCGTCAGAGAGTGTAGTGTTGCTAACAGCGCTGCTAAAGCGCCTTCGCGGCTCTGTTAACGCAATGTTAAACAGATTCGTGCTCTTATTCTTCGTTAAGCTGTCGCTTTGAACGGACGTGGTTGTTCTGTGTGGCGCAAATACGCGCGCGTCTTCTGCTCTGACAAAGAGAGAAAAATAAAAACAACGTACAAACAACAACAAATGGTCGCGCGGAGTTCTGTGTGTTGAGAGTTTTGCGATTTAAAATTGAATTTTGTGTGTCTAATAATAATGAAGTAAACAATTCGCACAGCAACGCGCTACAAATTTTGTCCAGAGCAAACACAGTGCAAGATAAAAACCGCAAGCTGTGCAAAAAATACCCAATAACAGTAAATAGCTATTGCTAAGCCAGCTGCTGCTCTGGCGAATATTGTACAAATTAATAAAGCATTAAAAGTAATTATATAAATATTTTAAACAACAACAAATATAAAGGCCCCAAGCAGAGGCAAGTGCAATAATAGAGCCACAGTTATTAAACAACAACAGCAACAACTTGAAGTGGCTTTACATCGGTGTGTGTGTTGGTGTGCGTGTGTGTTTATGCGTTAGTGTGCAGGTATAAAGCAAAGCAAAGTAAAGCGAAGCAAACAACAAGTAAAACTATTTACCAAAAAGGAAACGACAAACCAAGCCCAGCATCTCAACAGAAACGGCAACAGCAACAGCAGAGAGGCAGCAGCTGCGTCATCAACCGTGCAGTCGACGCAGACGCCGGCTAGGCATCATTAGTTGGCGTCGCTGCCCGAGCCCCTCGCTCCTATCTTACTAAGAAACAGAAACTTGACGAAACGATCGCGCTGCAGTCGTTGTCGTTGTAGTCGTCGTCTTCGGCTTGGTTTGCTTTACCTGTTAAACAGGTTTTGAAGAAAAACAACAACAACAACAATTATAAGCAAACGCGCGCGTCGCTTAACCAATAACAACAAAAGCAACAACAACGAGGCACAGCATAAAAAGGTTTATGTTCGTGTATGCAAGTGTGTGTGTGTGTGTATAGTTTTGTGACTGCTGCTTCTTGGAAACCTTTCAAGCGTCGACGCCGACGTCGCCGCCTGCATACTACGTGAAACGCGCTGCGGCTTTTGTTACCTGCATTGACGCTGCTGCAATTAACAACAACAACAACAACAATACTACTGCCTACTACGCGTTTGTGATTTCTGCTAAAAGCAACAACAACAACAACACGCTAAAGCTGAGTGAAGCAAACGGCCGATTATAACAGTGAAAAAGAGTGTGTGTGTGCGCGCAAAGAAAATGCTTTAAGACCTGGCCGTAAAATAAGGGCCAACACGTACGCCATTTTGAATTTTGAGTTTTTCAAAGTTCTTCCAAAGTGTGCGAGTTTTTTTTCCTACGCTTTTCTTATTTATGTTCATCGCATCGGTCGCGATGTGGCGCTGCCTTTTGGCATCTTCCGACGCACGCTAAAGCAGCGGAACGGCTGCGACTTTGTCGTAACGCTTACCGTTAGAACACAAAGAAGAAGGAGTTGAAAAACGAGGTAGCAAAAGTTTTTTTTTGGAGCAAAAATCACGCAAACAGCAACAGCTACAGCAACAACAACAACGACAAGCACATAGAACGTTAACTAAACCAACAAAATGGGTACGACAACAAAAACAAAAGTAAGAGCAACAGCAATAAGCAGAACAAGAACGACAACAACAACAATTACATCAACAAGAAAATCAACGTCAAGCAGAACAGGGAGTTCGAAATACATTTTGATCGGTAAGTTGAAGCCATAAAATGTTTGCTTACATATGTATGTAGGTATGTATGTATATTATATATTGCCACACTATATAAGCAAGTGGGGCAAATGCAGTTGAAATCGAATATTGCTTAGAAATCACAATAGAAGGCAAAATGCAGGTGTCAACAAAAAATAATAATACAATCAAACTATAAGGTGTGGGAGTAAACGCCTCGAATCTTACAACTGTTTCTATAACATTCGACTTCCCGACTCCCGCTCTTGTGGTGAGTTCTAATTCAGTTTTTGAAAAGAGCAGACGAATTCGCAGAAATTTGTATTCTACTTTGAATTGCTTAATAGTATGTTTTGCATTTGGGCGTTTCTCCGAAATGCCAAATTAACTTTGAATGCTCAAAGAGCGGAATTTGCTAGAAAGCTGGAAAGGTGTTTTCAAAATATGCAACATGTTCTTAAACATTGCTTTAATATTAATACGTGGTATCAGTTCAACAGACAAGCAATGATTGAAAATCGTAGCAGCTGCCGTATTTAATCGTAAAAGCAAAGATTTTTACTTCGTTTTGAAGTTCGCAAATCATGAGTTTCTGGCTGCAGATAATTGCAAGCTTTTAATTCACTCTCTAAAGTAAAGTATATATTTAGTTTTTTCAAAATATATGGTTCTTAAAATCCGAGCTATGTCAGGAATATTTCTGTTTCTTAGCTTATGTTAAAAGCATAGCTAAACTGATCAATAATCATTTAAATGTTTTCACATGTACTTCCCAAGACATGTATAACTTGTTTATGATTTGTTAATTATTCAAATTTTATTAAAAATGAACTTCAAACTAATTGAAACCAATAGATTCATACACCGGAAATGTTAGAGTAGACCAATACAGTAAGATTCGATCCATTTCTCCACAAACTCCTACACAAATAGGTTCGTTTAGTAACATAAATGCGCCCTAAAATAGTCCCAGACAAGTCTTGGTGTATTTCTGTAACAAATTCGGTTTGGAATGTTTATTTTAGTTGGCATTTCCTTAACACAATTCCTAGTAGGACGATGATTTTCCCTACAAATTGTTTAAAATTGATTTTGGCCCTCACTCTCCCACTCGATTAATTTAAATTTACAGCCAGTCAAGCTGTTGGATTGTTGTGTGCCGTCTGTTGCAGCTTTTGTTTATGACAGATTTCCCACCCTCCCTCAGCCACCCTTAGCTTTCAATCAGCTATTCCCAAGCAATATAAAAAGTCTGTCTTCACTTGCAAAAGCAAGCACACACCTCTAAAAAACCGATCTAAAACTTCGAACGATTTTGCAAATTCAACGCGACGTCGACTTCGCGTCACGATAAAGTTTTTTTTTTTGCTCTCCGGTTGCTGATGCCAGAGTGCTAAGTTTTTGCATGTTGCGTCCCATCTAGGATGTGGGTTCGGACGGAGGCAGCTTCGATTTGCTGGCAAACTTTTGTGGCACGCTCCACACGACAAGTTTTTGCGCTTAGCTGCAAAATGCTTTTTAATGCCCATCGCTTTAGTGTCTCACTCGCAATCGAGGGAACGTGCTTGAGAAGTGACCAATGGCCGACCACCAGTTGCTTGCTTCCCGCAATTACAAAGAGGCTAAGCCACTCACTCACTCACTCACTCCCTCAATCAGTCAGTCAATCTGTCAGTCATTCACTTAGCGGGCACACACACAAGCACACACATCAATTCATTCCTCCAATTTGTCTTTGATTAACGAAATTCCTGTGCTCGCACAATTAGTGACCCCGACCCCACATTCGATCCCGACAACATCTAACCGCAGACATGAAAACTTTATGGGAAGGCGGTTTGTAGAACCTCACTAAAAACAGTCTCGTGCTTTGGTTTCGTGTAATAAATAAAATGCGTTGATTTGACATTTTAATTGGACCTTTGACACATACGCTGGCCGACAAGTTGATGTTGTTGTTATAGTTGCTGTTGCCAACCCGTTGTAGCTGTCAACTGCACACACAAGTTTGTAAACTGTACAGTAAAAAAGTGTTATGCTGAACAACTTCCTATATTGGCCGCTTGAGAACAGAATTGCATCTAAAGCTGCCTGAGAGAAATGAATTTTATGTAAAGAAGTCTGCAAATAGAAATGCCGCAAGACTTCCTCATCTACATCTTTAACCCTGTGGGCTCACAAAAGCAGATTTTACTTTATTTTCGTGCATACTTACTCGTAAGTATAAAAGCAACTGCGAGTGCCGACAGAAGTCAAGTCAAAAATCAATGAACTCTCAACGGAGCTTTGACGGCCAAAACGCCCTCCAGGGTCTTATTAGGTTTGGTGATGGCAGCGGTAGCGGGAATGACAGCTGCCGCAATAATAACAACAACTATAATGGCCACACCATCAGTCTACAAACGAGTATATAGAAGCGAAACTTTTTGAGCTGCCAAAATTGACAAATAATTAAAAGCACATTAAATGTGTGGCCCGAGCATTAAGAACAAAAAAATGTCATAGCATTCGAGTGCCTGCGACTGTTCTCATCCAAGACGCTGTCGGAGTCTGCAGGCTCTGTCTTGTTATGTTTTGTTGTGCCCATAAATAATTAACATAATAAAATGCCTATAAATATCAATTTCAATTTGGCCGCATCTTCGTTTTGTCGTCGTCATTGCCAACAGCTTTGTCTGCTTTTCGGGCTGCATGTCGATGTGCGATGTACGATGAGTAATAAAAAGGCTTTTAACAAATCACAACCTACCGCCCACTCCAACTTCCAAACAACAAGAATAACAACATTCAGTCCACGTGGCAGACACTTTTCGACGCATTTCCAATTGCTGGCAACAGTCGCGACTCGTTTGTTGTTGTTGTTGTTGTCAGTCGCCTTTACTGAAGTGCCTTCAATTTGTCTGGTCCGTTTTCCTTTAGTGTGCCAACGTCGTTATTCTTTTTCGTCAGTCAGTCACTCGGTTTTCCTTTTACATTTTCATTGTTGTTGCTGCTGTTTTGTCTTCTTATTTTCCTTGGAATTGTTAGAGCGATGTTCCCAAAACTCACGCACGAGACAGCAGACAACAGCAGTCCAGAATACGAATACTTAAGACGCACTCAGGACTCTCACTCTCAACGCCCTCTACCCACTCTACTCTACCTCTGATATGCCACTCGCAGTGCCTTCACTTGTTGTCCTCGTCGCGGCACAGTGAGACAAAATAATTTGCGAAGGAATATATGATTTATGAGAATAGTTTAAAATGTGCTGATGAAGTACAGAATCGAGGCTAGCATGTTTCGATCGAATAAAACGCTTAAATAATGTGTTTGTTCTTTCTAGGATACTCTTAGATAAGTGTATACTCGCATAAACACAAGTATTATCGAGATTCAAAGATAAACCACTAAATACAGTGAAAACTCTCTGGCCGGACACTCAAGGGGAGCGTCTGCTTAAGGGGATACTTAAATACAATACACCGATCGAATGTTTTAGAAAAAGTGTCCGCCGAAGAGAGTGTACGGATAAAAGAGGTGTCCGTTAAGGGAGTTTTCACTGTAAAATCATTTGTCAGCTATTGTTTACAAACTAATCAGCTCAGAAAAAATTTAAAATTTGGCTAATATGAGATAGTTTATGTTCTGAAAAGTGTAACTGACCACCAAATAATTAAACCGACCCAAGGACTTTGAAGTCCATGGAAACATACTGACTCTTCAATGGGGCATCCTTTCAGTAAGCGACAACATAAATCAACATACCTTCGTTTTAATTAATAATAATTCGTGTTTTTGAAACATTTCCCTTTCACTTAATTGCCGAAGTCTAATAGAATTAATTTATCAATCAATTCGGAGCCACTGTGCATTCACATTGCGCTGTCGTTTATGTTCAGTTTTTTATTTTTATTTTCATGCCTTTGCTTTTTATTCCGTGTGGCGTTACGTTTTGCGCTTTGTTTTATTTATGCGTTCGCTGCCTGCCTGCTGCCAAGCTGGCAGTTCTCTCGGTTTTTCCTTTGAGTTTTTCCCACATTTTCATTTCCTGCCAGGACTCCCTAAGTGCCATGCTCAATGCCTTTTTTCTCTGCCTGCCTGCCTGCCTGCCTGCCACTTGCTTAGCGTCCAAATGCGCGTGAATTATGATTGTGGTGGCATAGAAGAGCAGAAATAAGTAGGGAAGAGGGAAGAGCGGGCCAGGGGCAAACAAACCGTATCCTTTACACACACACACACACACACACACACACATATGTACAGACACACATACCGAAAGACACGTAAACTGCACAGCTAGCTGCAACTTTTTGAAATTAAAATAAATTAAACAAATATTTTGTTTGTTTGCTCAAAATTTACGTGCACAATTCAACGCCGGCTGCCGGGCATGCAAATGATAGGAAAGGTGGCAGAAGTGGTGGGGGGGGGGGGAGGGAAATGCACACACAACTTACAGTTTGCAATTTGCATTCGGATTGGGCTGAAATCAAAGCTGAAAATGAAGCTGTGCTAGGATGGGGGTGTTGGGAGCCGCTTTTTATGCAGCATATGCAGTTTTTGTTGTTGCTGTAGCAAAGTTTTTGGCAACGCCAAATGCTGATAATACTTTGAGCTGCAGCTGCAGTTGGCCACACCCACCTCCACCTGCACCGCCCACCCACCACCTACAGACCCTCCTCCTGCCCAACCAGCTCTGTTGGTAGTTTTGCGGAGCGTGCCTTTGGCATATGGCATTTTATAAAATACACCCGTTAGATGCAAATGTATCTTTATCTCTCTATGTATGTATATACATCAGTGTGTATGTATGTATGTAGTTGCGTTTGTGTGCTGGCCCTGCCTGCTCGTGCCAGGCCCTGCCCTTTCCCCCCAACACCACCACCAACAACCGCCTCTGTTGGTTCTAGCCATCGAAGCATTTCACCTGCCCTGCGTTCGCTGCTCTCTAGATTTTGAGTTTGTGTTGAACTCGCGCAGCTGTTTAAACAAAACGTAGCGAAAACTTTTGCGCCAATGCAATGCACAACAGTAGAA